GCCTGGACAGGGGTCAGAGCCAGTGATCGGGGGGAGATGGGGGTCCCCTGTCCAAGCCTGACACCTCTGGCGGAGGCGTCAGGCCTGGGCAAGGGGCCGATCAGATGATCGGAGGGTGATGGGGTCAACGCCTCTGGCCGAGGCATCAGGCCTGGGTGAGGGCAGAGCCGGTGATCGGGGGGAGAGGGGGGTCCCCTGCCCAGGCCTGACGCCTGGGCCAGAGGCATCAGGCCTGGGCGGGGGGCAGAACCAGTGATCGGGGGGAAATGAGGGTCCCCTGCCCAGGCCTGACACCTCTGGCAGAGGCATCAGGCCTGGGCAAGGGGCCGATCCTGCGATTGGAGGGTGATGGGGGTCAATGCCTGAGGGCTCCCAGTATGTGAGAGGGGGCAGGCTGGGCTGAGGGACACTCCCCCCCCATACACACAGTGCACAAATTTCGTGCACCGGGCCCCTAGTATACACTAATAAAAGAGAAAGATGCAAATTGACTGTACCTTCGTGACGCCCCACCAGCCAATCAGGAATAAGTATGCAAATTAACACAACAAAAATGGCAGGTTAATTTGCATATACAGGCACTGAGTGGTCAGGGGTGGGGCGGGATGCTTGCATCGCCATGGTGACAACACAGGTATTCCTCACTGCCCCAGCTGCTCCGGGCCTCTGGGCAGCGTGGGAAGGCAGAAAGGCAGCTCTGGGCTGGAGCCAAGGTGCAAAGACGCTCCAGCTGGAGCGAAGGCGGTGCTGGCAGCCAGGGGAAGGAAGGCCCATTCTTGCACGAATCTTCGTGCATTGGGCCTCTAGTCCTATATAATAAAAGCCCAGCGACTGAATGGTGGAATGACCAGAACAACTGGTCGACCAGTCGCTATGACATATACTGACCACCAGGGGGCAGACGCTCAACACAGGAGCTGCCCCTGGTGGTCAGTGAGCTACCACAGTGGGAGCGCCGCTTGGCTCACTGGGATGAGCGGCTGCTCCCGCTACGAACCCCGGGCCAATGGGCAGGAACCCGGGCTGCGATCGTCGCCTCCTCGCCCCAGGCTCCTCCTTCTCACTCCCTGCCACCTCCTATGGATGCCCGCAGGCCATGCAGTGCCGCCGCCGCTGGGCTCACAGAGCTGACCATGGAGGCTGGGAGGCGGGTTCATGGCTGCTGCAGGTCCTCTCAGTGCTATTGTGCCTGGGCCTGGCCCCAACCAGGTCCCCTGGAGAGGCTAGCACTCCGGCTCCATGGAAGATGCTGGACCAGGGAGCAGCCACTCAGAGGGCGGGTCCACAGCCGCTCAGCTGAATGGCAGTGCTTTCACAGCAGGCCGATCCCCGCAGGCCACACCCCCACCAGTGCACGAATCACATGCACCGGGCCTCTAGTCTATAATAATAAAAGGGTAATATGCAAAACAACCGAACCCGAATGGTGGAACAACTGTCTGGATGACCTTCTGGACTACCTTCTGGATGAAGCCGGGGCTGCGAGGGCCAAGGCAGCCGGAGCTGCCAAGGCCTATTCTTGCACAAATGCATGAATTTGTGCAATGGGCCTCTAGTTTCTTAATAATAAGCCATCCTATTAACATGAACCAAACAATCTAAATCAATTAGGTATTAGGTAGTGCAGTTTGAGAGGGATGTCTGATTTAACAAAATATGATTGTTAATGAAACACTGAGAAATATCAAATCTAAACGTTTATAATGAGTAGTCCTAAATCCAGCCCTAAGTACATTGCACTTCATTAGACTGTAATTTAAAAAAGATTAAATTAAAAGAAACAAAAAACTGCCAAACTCAGAAAAAAGCTTTTTTTAAAAATTTATTTTTAAAATAAATTTGGGTGCAAGTTATAGACACTAACTCTAGCCAGCAAAGAAAACAGAGGAACAATATTTTGTTGCATATAGATTGGTTTATTTAATTAATTTAAAACATTTTCTTGATTCTGTTACATATAAAATTATATAAAGAGAAAAATGTGAAGAGCAGTGCTAGGATAATAATATGAAGGTTTATAGGAAAAGCTAATATTTTACGTAATTTCTGAGACCACTTTCTTTTACATTAAACCCTATTAAAGTGTTACATTTCCCCAGTGGTTCTAAATTTCATAAAGAATAACAATTTTTCTATGTCAACTATATTTAAGTTGTATGCATTGCATTTCTCTTTATTTTTTAATTATAGAGGTAATACATGGTGATTGTTAAAAAATCCTTCAATTTGTAAGTAAAACACACAGGTATAATCTTTCACCCCCGCTCCCCAATCATACACCCCTTTCCAAAGGTAGCTACTTTAACATTTTAGTATGTGATTGTTGTTGTTATTGTTTTTTCTAAAATGTTACACACATTACTGTGTGTATTTTCATGCCTTAGCATAATTTTCAATTGCTCTAAAACTTGATGTTACTTGCGTTTATTTATGTCTCATTTACTTTTCTGTAAGTAGATATAACTTTTCAACAAGGTAATCAATCCCCCAACTTTTATGTCGTTCTTCAAATGCATCTACTTTCTCAAGACACTGACAAGTGCACACTGAACCTGAAACAAGAAGAAAGGGTAACAAGTTAAAACTTTATAAAGAATGCAATCAGGGATTTTTCTGAAAACACATCAAATGATTTTAAAAACTGTGTACTGAAGATTTTTCTCTTTTTTTCTAATGAAAATGGGGAATTACTAAGGCAAATTCTGAACTCTAAATTGTTATCACTTATAACTCCTAAGAGCCAAACTAACCTTATCATCTCTCTGGAATAATTCAAATGTCTTCAACATAAGCATACCACTTAGCTAAAAAGGCATATTACAAAAAAAATAAATAAAAACATATTACAGAGATCTCTCCTTTTCTAGGACAAAATAGTCTTCAATAAAATGGTTTCTGACCTTTAAATTTTATACTTCTAGGTAATAATAGTTTGATAATAGCTCAGAACAGCTAACTGTTGACTTTATTTAAAAAGTTACAGCATACATTCATAACTTACCAAATAGTCTTTTAATTTCATCATCTGATACATAAAATGGTGGTCCTAGGTAAGAGAAAAACATGGTTAGATCTCATTCTAAAGAGAAATAAATTCTCAGGATCCACTTCTCAGCTTATTTCCAATGACCTAGGTACACTTATTCTACATAGAACTTGATTAGCCAAATAGGTGAGCATGTGACAGGTTCTGCTGCTTTTTTTCTACCATCTCATACCAAAGCCTGGCTTACTGAGGTGGGTCCCATCTCCAGCAGAGATGAGGTGGCTGAGCCAGCCATGGGACTTGGGAACACTGAAATCATACCAGAGTTCATTAACAAATTCCCTAGGGTTTCCTTCATCGTCTTGGGATGTTGATTTTCTACTGCTCCTGCACTCCCCTATATTCTATACACCCTCCCACTTTGCTGAGGGCCATTAACTTTAAAGGAAACTTAGCTTCTGCCCCTCTCTAGAGCTCTCTCTTCTGAGCTCCACCATCAGGCATTGCTTGCTGTGTTTTCTTCCCATAGACCACTCCCTAAGCCTGCTGTTCAGGAATGAAATTGAAATCAGATTAGCAGAGCTGTTATCTGTCTCCATTAATTTCTATTTCCATCCAATTGTCCCAGATTTCATTAAGAACAACAGGTCTCATCTTTTAATGAGTTTTTAAGATGATTCAAAGAGAAAAAAACACTAACATATGTAAATGTTTCTAAAACAGAGTACTTTTTAAAAAGCACAATTAAACATCAAAAAGGGAATTTTTAGAAATGAAAAGTCTACATAGCTGTTTTTCAAATCTTTCTGAAGACAAAGTTCAGCGATGACAAAAGTTAAGCTTCAATGTTCAAACACATCAAAATGGGTCCAGAAAAAACACACAGCACTTTTACAAATTCAAAACAAAGATAGTTATAAAAAATGCAATCAATAAATTGGAAAATTTCATAAATTAAAAAAAAGCAATAGTTTAGAGCTTTTCTCGCATACCTCCTACCTCACCATGTCCACTTTTGACACTGTCCTCCTATGAGGGTGTTTGTGTGTGTGCACCCATAGGCATCTGCCCAGATCATCCCCATCACCACGGATGACATAGATATGCTCTATCTATAGCAAAGCAAACAAATCTCTCTTCCTCCTAATCATGAGATTTCTCTTTTACATTAGGGCCATCCATTTCTCCCTCTCTTTCATAGTTTGAGCTGTGAATGAACAAAATGGGAATGGAATATGAGAAAAATATGTACCCAGTGGGAAGATAGAAGAAGTTTATCGTTTCCATTAGCCAAAACTAGACTTATCTTCCTGTATGTGTATAAACACTATACTTCCTATGGGATAAATTAGGAGAAAATTAACGCTATTCATGTCATAGAATTAAATCAGGAAATGAGGCAATTAGGAAAACAAAAAGACTTTACCTGCATATTTAGTTGGATCATAAGAAAAAACACTCAAGAGGTAGTGGAACCCTTTTCTCATTAGGGACAGCATTATATCTGCATAGCTAAAACAAACAACAAAAGCACACAAAAAAGTACGTGTTAGAATTCTCTACAAAGGCAAAGCCTGGCAGGGGGGGGAAGGCAGCCTTTACTTTCATCTACATCACTGAGCTTATTTCTTCTAACAACCCTGTGAAGCCGATTCTCATTCTAAAAGTCAGAAATTGGTTACACAAATTATGTCATCTGCCCAAACTGGGAAATAATAAAGATGGGAGTGAAAATGAGGCTGCTTCCAGAGCCGCTCAGACCAGAAGACTTCACAACGAGACGAGCAGAGACCACTTCCACCCCGATGTACCCAGAGGTCTGGCCACTTTGAACACATTCTTGCCAAAGGGCTACCATATGCTCTGGGGCAGTGACACCTCTTCCCAGGCTGGTCCCCAAATCACCTGGGAACTTGCTCAAAAAAAAAAAAAAAAAAGACGCTTGAGCTCCATCCCCACAGACTGATTCTGTCGGTTTACTGTGGGACATGGTATGCTGTAGGGCAGCATGGTATGCAGGGCAGTGGTTCTCAACCTTGGCTGCACATTAGAATCACCTGGGAATCTTTTTAAAATCCTGATTTCTGGGCCTCATCCTCCGGAAATTCTGTTTCTTTGTTATGGGGTGTGGCCACAACATTAGTAACATGATTAGCAGCAAATTGTAGTCTATTAACACAACATTAGCAGCATAGTATTCCATTGTGTATCAGGGGTCCTCAAACTTTTTAAACAGGGGGCAGTTCACTGTCCCTCAGACCGTTGGAGGGCCGGACGATAGTTTAAAAAAAACTATGAACAAATTCCTATGCACACTGCACATATCTTATTTTGAAGTAAAAAAACAAAACGGGAACAAATACAATATTTGTATTTGCATGTGGCCCGCGGGCCATAGTTTGAGGACCCCTGGTTTAGAGAGCAGAGCATGAGAACAAAAGAAATGGTTTCACAGCGTCACACACTGAGAGTCTAGCACCGAGACTCCGGGTTTACTGGTTCAGGGGGGCTTCCCAGGGCACCCTGAGAACGCTGGGAGGAAGCGTTGACTTGCCTTTCAGGAGCTTCTTTTCCCGAGCTGTAACCCTTGTCCAAGGTCAATGTTCTTTTTCAGACATACGGATAGTCCCATTTTACACTGGCATAGCTCTACTTTGGTCTGCAGTGTGTTGCTTTGGTAGGTTCTCTGAATGACATCTTATCCCAAGCTTTTGGGAGAGAAAAAATCAGGACTAACAGTAAACATACACAGACATGCACACACAACCTGCCCTCGCTGTACTGGTTTAGCCTCTAAAATGCTGTGCCTGGCTGTGCCCGCTCACCTTGCTTGACTTGTGAATAGGTGAGCCCTTAGTGACAGTGATTGCCACGCCCTCTTTCTATGGCCCCTCCTGTCTCTTCCCCTGTAAGCACCGGGACAGAAACAATAGGTATAGCTGTGATGGGCACTTAGGCTGTTACCAAATCTTAGCTATGGTAAATTGTGCTGCTATGAACATACGGGTGCATATATCTTTTCTGATTGGTGTTTCTGTTTTCTTGGGATATATTGCTAGAAGTGGGGCTACTGGGTCAAATGGAAGTTCCATTTTTAATTTTTTGAGGAAACGCCATATTGTTTTCCACAGTGGCTGCATTCACACCAGCAGTGCACGAGGGTTCCTTTTTTTTCTGTATCCTCGCCAGCACTTGTCGTTTGTTGATAGCCATTCTGACAGGTGTGAGATGGTTCCTCATTGTCGTTTTGATTTGCATCTCTCGGATGATTAGTGACTTTGAGCATGTTTTCATGTCTCTTGGCCTTCTGTATGACCTCTTTCGAAAAGTGCCTATTTAGGTCCTTTGCTCATATTTTGATTGGATTGTTTATCTTCCTTTTGTTAAGTTGTATGAGTTCCCTATAAATTTTGGAGATTAAACCCTTATCAGATATAACATTGGCAAATATGTTCTCCCATGCAGTGGGCTTTCTTATTGTTTTGTTGATAGTTTCTTTTGCTGTGCAGAAGCTTTTTATTTTGATGTAGTCCCATTTCTTTATTTTCTCCTTAGTTTCCATTGTCCTAGGAGCTGTATCGATACGATAAAGATATTGCTACAACATATGTCTGCTATTTTGCTGCCTATGGATTCTTCTAAGATTTTTATGGTTTACTGTCTTACGTTTAAGTCCTTTATCCATTTTGAGTTTATTTTTGTATATGGTGTAAGTTGGTGGTCTAGTTTCATTTTTTTGCATGTACGTCTCCAATATTCCCAATACCATGTATTAGTATTGAAGAGACTGTCTTGACTCCATTGTATGCTCTTGCCTCCTTTGTCAAATATTAATTGAGCATAATAGCTTGGGTCGATTTCTGGGTTCTCTGTTCTGTTCGATTGGTCTATATGTCTGTTCTTGTGCCAGTAGCAGGCAGTTTTGAGGACAGTGGCTTTGTAATATAGCTTGATATCTAGTATTGTGATCCCTCCAACTTTGTTCCTCTTTCTCAAGATTGCTGCAGCTACTTGGGTCTTTTTTTTAAATTTAATTTCTCTGATGTGAATTCTAACATTTTTTTTGTGTGCCTTGTGTTAAGAGTCTCCCTACATACAACTAAGTAATTCAATATTTATGTGCTAAATCTAAGTAAATATGTGAATGATATTTGAGTTGGAAAAAATATATGTATGTTTATACCCAATCCTCATCTGAGGATATTTTTTCCATTAATTTTTACAGAGTGTGGAAGGGAGGGAGGAAGGGGGAAGAAGAGGGAGGGAGGGAGGGAGGAAGGGAAAGAGAGAGAGAGAGAGAGAGAGAGAGAGAGAGAAATATCAATGTGAGACACATCTATTGGTTGCCTCCTGCATGTGCCCTACTGGAGCCAGGGATGGAACCTGCAACCCAAGTACATGCCCTTGATCGGGAATTGAACGCATGACCCTTTGGTGCACAGGCGGACACTCTAACCACTGAGCAACAGCACCCAGGGGTGCTTTCTCATATTTTAATTTCATTTCCAATAAGGCTAGGAACAATAAGCATGGTCACCAAAAACATCAATTACAAAAGCTCTAATATAATAATAGCTAATCTTTAGTGATTTAGAGTTGACAAGGCCCTTCCCACACATATCATTTCTCTTAATTCCCATAGCAACCTTGTAAGGTAGTATGATGTAGGGATCATGAGTGTGGACTTTGAAGCTAAGCTCCCTGGTGTGAATCTCAGTTCTGTCATGTACTGTCTAATGTTGGACAGGTAACTTAATCTCTTTGACCTTAGTTTCCTCATCTGTACAATGGAAATACAACCATGATTTAACATTACTAATTTAGTGATCAAAGTTGTGTATTTTGTGTTTTCTTTAAGTATATAATCAACCCTATGTTTTCTTAAATGAATCCTGTGCTTTCATCTCTGTCCAAGCTCTGATTACAGTTGAGTGGCCTGTTCCGGGAGTAAGAAAGGCTGACGCCAGTTGTAAAATCGCAGGTGTCCGAAATAAAACCACAAATGTCGGGTTGATGCAAATTGAAAGATAACATCAGAATGGGGTGAGCTTAAGCAGGAGCTGCGGGACTCCCCTTCAGCCCCCTCCCTTACTCCCACTTCCCTTTCTCAAGAGAAACTGCACATCCACACTTCCCTCGGGAATTCTTCCCTCCCGAATTCCCACCAACTCCCTCTAAGAATCACTGGCTTGACCAGAGATGTTAAGATGGGTTTTTGGCCCTAACCGGTTTGGCTCAGTGGATAGAGCGTCAGCCTGCAGACTCAAAGGTCCCAGGTTCAATTCCAGTCAAGGGCACGTACCTTGGTTGTGGGCACATGCCCAGTAGGGAGTGTGCAGGAAGCAGCTGATCAATGTTTCTAACTCTCTATCCCTCTCCCTTCCTGTCTATAAAAAATCAATAAAATATATATTTTTTAAAAAAAAGAAAAAAAAGATGGGTTTTTGAGGACAAGCACCCCCCGCCTGCCCCCACATCTTCTCGAGTCACCGGCACTTGAATAAACCTCTTACCTCTCACCAGCACCTATCTCACCAGTTTGGCTTTTGTAGTGGCAGGCAGCTGAACTTGGGCTCAGTTTCAGGAATAATGAAAGCATATACCTCACAGGGTTGTTTTGTGGGTGAAATGTGTTGATGCACATAAAGTATTTAAAACAACGTCTGGCACATGGCCAATGTATGACAAGTGTCACCTGGTATGTTAGCGGAGGTGGTGATGGTGGTACTAGTAGAAATATTACAATTTTGCAGAGGAGTAAACTGAGACTTAGAGAAGGTGGGTACTTTGATCAAGGCAACACAGCTTGGAAATGACAGTCACAAGCCTTGTACCCAGGTCCCTATGGCCAAATCCTATACTTTTTAGACAAAAATGGTGTTGGATTTAGGTCTTCTAATTTCAAATACAAAATGCTACTTTAAACCAGTAAAAGCCTAGCTAATTGTCTAGAATCCAGAAAAAGCACAGCATACAAAATTAAGAAGGCAAGAAATAAAAAAGTAAAGAAAGGAAGAAAGAAATGAAAAGCCAACATAATTAAAGAAACCAAATTACTAACCGTTTACGATCACCTGGGTTAATAGCAACGAATGCTCCTCTATCCCAAATCCTGTCAAATTTGCCAATATTTGCTCTATCAGAAAAAAAAGAAAAAAAATTACAACATTTTATGTAAGAAACATCAAATCTTTAACACATCGAACAGTGATTCCCATGGTGCATGCTGGCACTTCAGCAGGTGTTACAGACCTAGCTGTGAAGGTGATACCTGTCTTGCTTTCCCTTCCTTTTACTTACTTGTCTAGGGTCATGACAATGTTTTCCATAGTTTGGAAGCTATCCAAGGACAAAAATATTGGGGAGGTAGGGCGTGTTCAATGACTGCTGGCCTCACTGATTTTTTGTCAGTGTAGCCTACGATAAAAATAACTGCAGAACAGACTCAAATCAATGCTTTGTGAGTGCTACTACAAGTGGATGGGGAGAGGAAAGACTTGCCCCCACCCCAGCACGGCCAGCAAGTACTGAGGTTTCTAAAAGTGCAGAGGTAGTATTCAGTCCTACCTGGGAAGATCAAAAAGGTTGCAACAGTACAATGAGATGTTCCCCGAAGAACTCTGTAATGAAAAAGTCAAGAAAAAAAGTCTACTTATTAGGAGAAAACTGAGTAGTAAAGGAAAGAAAAGAGGGGAAAAACAAAGGTGGTGGAGAGAGAATGCATAATTAAATATAAAGGATATAACTTTACTGCAGATAATGTTTTTACTGAAAATAAAATTTTACTGAAAAACATTTTTTAATGGCGTACTTTTTAAAAAAAACAAAAAAAAAACCCTGTTCTTTTGGATCAACTCAAGGAGAAAATAAAGAGAGATTAACCTCATTAACTTGTTAAAATTTAGCAATATTTATTTCATCAGAGTCCAGTTCAATCAATACCAGGCAAGCTGATAGAGAAAGGTAAAATATATTAAAAGTTATTCATGAAAAGTGCAGTTGGGGTGATGTCCCCTTTGCCCTTTCATTCATTCATCTAATGAGCATTATTTTCTGAGTGCTTTGTGGATGGGGCTACCCTGGTTCTAGATAGTGGATGTGAATTTGACACCGTCTCTGACCACAGTGGGGACAGCCTGGTGGAGCAGAGAGGCACGGGTACAGAGAAACATTACACTGCAGAACGGCCTGTACTGTTCCGGTTGTGTGCCTGAGAACTGTGAGAACAGAGGATAGAACAGGGAACTGACTGGGGAAAGGCTGAACAAGAGGTGTCTTTGAAAGGGTATTGGTGCATCTGCTAACATTACAGGGGCTGGGCTGGGGGTGCAGTCCAGGGGCAGTACCATGACATGGATTCCATCATGTCCAGAGGATGGAAGTCTAGGAGGTGAGGTGCGGGCAGGGGTGAAGGGCAAGTTAGCAAAGGTGCATCAGGATGTGAAACTCTCGGATTATATTCTGAAATGAGGTGCCAACAGAGGTTTATAAATACAGGAGGGAGGGTCTTTGAAGACCAGTTCAGAAGTACTCTGGGGGCAGCCCAGAGAGGCCTGGGCCTGGAGGCAGGGAGAACAACCAGTTCTTTCCTTCCTTTTTTTTGGTTAATCCTCACCTGAGAATATTTTCCCATTGATTTTTTAGAAGAGTAAAAGAGAGAGGGAAAGACAGAGCTGGGAGAAGCCTGCAACCAACACACGTGCCCTTGACCAGAATCGAACCCGGGATCCTTTGGTCCGCAGACTGACGCTCTATCCACTGAGCCAAACCGGCTAAGGCTAGCCAGTGCATCTTAACTGGATGCAGACTGGAATCACTGGGGAACTTTCAATAGTACTGATGCCAGCCCCACCTCAGAGATTCTGACGTATTTGGCCTGAGGTGAGGCCTCAGACTGGGAACTTTAAAAGATCCACAGGTGACTTTGAATGTGAGGGCTGAGAGCCATTGCTCTGAGAGGCATGTGGAAGCAGGACTCACCTCTTTGGACTGAGTAATCTCCTGAGATTCTTAGATGATTGTGAATGGGATGGGAGGAAGCTGTAAAATAAAGTACTAGCAAGCCTCCTAATGTCCTGAGCAATTAATTTCAGTATTTAAAAATGAGAGTACTTTGTGAGAGACTGAATGTACCAACAATGGCCAGACCACATAAGGCAAGAGAACTTGGACCCATAAGCTCCCAGCAACCTGCCTGGGAAGCCAAACCACAGCTTATGTGGTCAATGACTGCCAGCCTCCTTACTTTTTACCCTCCCCACTCAAGACCAACCAGAGAAAGTCAAATATATAACCTAAACCCATCACAGAGTATGGCCCCCTCTAGTTAGTCCCACTTTGGCTTCCCCAGCCCAACAGCCTCCAATCAGGGCACACCTGAAGCCTTTGCGTTTTTCACTATTAAGCTTTCCCACTCGCCTGCCTGTCTTTTGAGGCTCTTCCAAATGCAAGTGGCTCACCCCCTCTGCTTGTTCACATTAGGGCCTTTATTATTCCCACACTATGACCCCAAGCTAGTGAAGCACTGCCACTGGATCATTCTGGCCACAGGATGACAACTTCCAAATCTATTCTTTCCAACCCAAGTGCTGCCCTGCATTTCAGAGACCTAAAACCATTTGCCAGCTACACCTTTGCCATTCCACAGGTCTCTTAAACTCAGCATCTCCAAAACAAAACTCATTTTCTCTTCATTCCCTGCCATTCAACCTGTCATCTATTCTGGAAATAGGAACTCATCATCCTCTTGATCTCTCAGTTAATCACTAAATACCTGCCGTTTGGCATCCTCAGCATTGCTTTACCCTACCCGTGTTCCTCTGAGCACCCCTGTCACTCTCCTAGCTCAGGTTTTCAAGATCTCTTTCCCAGACCACCGCTCACAGCCTCCCATCTGCTCTGTCAGGAGGCTCCTTCCCTTCAAATGTACTGCCCTTGAGGCCACAAGGGTCTGTTGACTCAAAGAAAAATCTGGCCTTGTCACCTTCCCACTTAAACCTTGCTGCACATGTCCCGCCGGTGTGGCTCAGTGGTTGACCATCGACCCATGCACCAAGAGGTCACTGGTTTGATTCCTGGTCAGGGTACGTGCCTGAGTTGTGGGCTTAATCCCCAGTGTGGGGGTGTGCAAAAGGCAGCCAGTCAATGATGATTCTCTCTCATCAATCTTTCTTTCTATCTCTCTATCCCTCTCCCCTCCCCTCTCTCTAAAAATAAAAAAAAACAACAACTTGGGGGTGAGGGGACCCTGAAAGTCCTAAACCTGATTATCTTTCTTTCTATCTCTCTATCCCTCTCCCTTCCCCTCTCTCTAAAAATAAAAAAAAACCTTGGGGGTGAGGGGACCCTGAAAGTCCTAAACCTGATATTTTTAAAAAAAATAATAATAAAATAAAACCTTGCTGCACAGTCTGAAGGTACCAGCTTCATAGGGCATCTGAGACCATGGATGTGACGCCCTGCCTGTCCCAGCCCTATCAGTCACCATGCTTCATTCAGGAAGCTCCCCCAGGCTGGGTTAGGTAATTTTCCTCTCTGTTCCCTTAATACCCATGCCATTACATTTAACTCCACTTATGACAGCTTTCTCTGCGTTTCTCTTTTCTCTTCTAAGCTAAAGGATTCTTTAGGCAGGGACTGTATTATCTTCTCAATGTCTCTTGCAGGGTGTGGCACAAGACAGGTTTCAGAAATGACAATTTGTAAATTTAAAAAATCATATAGGCCCTGGCCAGTGTGGCTCAATTGGTTGAGCATCATCCTGTGCACCGAAAGGTCACCAGTTTGATTCGAGGTCAGGGCACATACCCAGTTTTGTGGGTTTGATCCCCAGTTGGGGTGCACACTGGAGGCAACGAATTGATGTTTCTCTCTCTCTCCCTTTCCCTTACTCTGTCTTTAAAAATAAATAAAATCAATAATGAGAGAGAATCATTGATTGGCTGCCTCCTGCATGCCCCACACTGGGGATCGAGCCTGTAACCCAGGCATGTGCCCTGACCAGGAATCAAACCATGACCTCCTGTTCCATAGGTTGATGCTCAACTCCTAAACCATGCTGGCTGGGCTACCCATTAATCTTTTTAAGCCCTAGCTCCTTAATTTATAAGTGAATCTTATGTACACTTGCATAGTATCCTCATTCATACTGAAAAAACATTTTTGTGGGGGTATGGAAATAATTATTTACGAAAAAACAAAACAAACCTTGAATACTTTGGCTCCAGGAATTTCCTTGATTGGTTCTTCTGAGTAAGAAAGATTCTGCTCCGTAAAAAATTCGCGTATCCCAAGTTCACTGATTTCCACACCGACTACACTGTGTCCCCGATCTGCAAACCTGCATAAAACCATATATTTACACTTAAGTTTTTATTTTAAATATAGTACTAAATAAAAGGATATGCCCAATAAGCATATATTTTCCTTAACTTTAAGGGATTTGTATGAATTCAGGTTCATAGGGTTTATAGAACATATAGATCCACAGAAAGTGAATCTATATATTTTCAAACCATATGTTATATGGAATTCTGAAAAATTCATTTATATGACTTTAGAAAAATAATTTTTAATTTTGGAAAATTATTCCTTCAAGTGTTGATTTACTACAAATGGACTTTATTAGAAGAGTTTCTGATTTAAAAGCACCCTATGGATTAAAAATACTTTTCAATTTCTCTAAATCAGCTCTGTCCATTACAACCTTCAGTGATGATGGACGTGTCTATACCTACGCTGTCCAGACCAGCAGCCACCAACCACACTGGCTGTTGAACACCTGAGACTTGGCCAGTGTGATTTAGTTTAAATTTAAATAGCCACATGCAGCTAGTAGCTATGGTACTGGAGCATATAGCTCTAGAACACTAGCATCCATTTCTATAAAAAATCTTATAATTTTCATTTACTTACAATCTTATAATTTTCATTTCCAATACATTCTACCCAGAAATTTATTTAATTATCATATGCAAATAACTAGTATTTTCCTGGTAAGCTTTATAATTACAGAACTCACAGACTTGGAATTCTGCACTCCAGAGAAAACACGACTAGTGGCACAAAATTCCTAGGCAAAGTATTGACTTTATGCCAAATTAAATTAAACACACACACAGTCAGTTCTGCGATAATGCAACATATGCCTACCTAAAAATCACTGCACTACGCAAAATCATGCAATAAAAATCACAAGGCTCATGGAGAAGATAAGGGTTCGGGTGCAACATTAAAAACTTTGTCATAATGTAATATTATTCAGCTATAACAAAAGAACAAAGTGTTGCCATTTGTGACAACCTGGGTGAACCTTGAGGGCATTATGCTAATTGAAATAAGTCAGAAGAGAAAGACAAATACCATATGATTTCATTTATATGTGAAATCTAAAAATAAAATAAAAAACAAACAAATTAAGTAATAGATAAAGAGAGCAGATTGATGGTTGCCCGAGGCTGGGGTTAGGGGCTGGGCAACATGGGTGAAGGGGGTCAAAAAGTACAAACTTCCAGTTATAAAATAAGTAAGTCATAGGGATATAATGTACAGCATGAGGATATAGATACTAATACTGTATTGCATACAGGGTGGGGCCAAAATAGGGTTTCAGTTGTTCCTATGGAAAGTAATACAATAATTAATAATAATTCAAGAATAAACTGCATACTCACAGCTTAAACCCACTTTTGCCCCACCTTGTATTTGAAAGTTGCTAAGAGTAGATCTTAAAAGTTCTTATCAAGAGAAAAAAAATTATAACTATGTATTGTGACGGATGTTAACAAGACTTATTGTGGTGATCCTTTTGCAGTACCTACAAATATCAAATCATTGTGCTGTACACCTGAAACTAACATAATGTATGCCAATTATACATTTATGCATTTATGTATGTATGTATGTATTTGTTTATTGGAGTTCCAGTGAGTTTTCACTGAGATAAATGAACAAAAATCAACATTTTATCAACCATCTTTTCTGAACTTTATAAACTCAGCAGAGACACTGGTCCACATGTGCACACACAACATGATACATGCTGACCAAAACAAAGCCCCATTGGAACACTTGCCAATTGTAACAGAAAGCCAATTTTCCCTTTCCGCCAATTTTTTCAAAATTTTGAGTCCCCACTGTTCACTTCTCAGTGGAAATGGTCCCGTATGGCTAGGGAACAATAAAATTCTACCCCATTTTTACTGAACAAAAAAATATTTTCAGGTTTTAGTTTTGTTTCAAAAAAGGGAACAGTGACTTTGTTTTCTCCAGGCACTCTCCCCCAGAACCATTGGTTAAAATACAGTATTCCATTATCTTACTAACCCAACGCTACCCTCTCCCCTTCTCAGTACTGTCAATTGGAGAATTTAAATACACTTTCTGTTGGAATCTGTCAGCTATGGTCCAGGTGCCAGGCTGGCTCCCTCTGACCTCATGAACTGTTATAACCTCTGGACCCTTAACTCTTTACCCTAAAGATGAGTTTTTAGATCTGGAGAGTGGATTTTCTCTGGGAGTTTAAAAACTATCTTTCAGGAAATATTGAACTTCAAGCTCACCAAAGTCCAATTAAATTCACCAAAAACGTGACTGACTTCAGCTCCCACAAGGCCAATAATTTTGTTTGACAAAGATATTCTGCCAGAAAATGATTCCCCAATAACAGTTTTTAAGATGCACAGAATGCTGAAAAAAGTAGCAAATTAAAGTAACATGGCTTAATTCCCAAGAATCTATTTCATTTTTTTGTTACTCATCTATAAGGTCAGGAGTGTGGCTTAAGGCAGTTTCTGATGAGGTTATAAACTTTCAAAGTGTTTCTAAATCCTCATTGCAGACTCCCTTTCTTTTGGGGCACAGTCACCTCCCTCCCAACCCTACTTAAAAAAATTAAACCAAGTGATCAGAATGAGATGTTTCGATGCCAACAATTTACACTCAAGGCTTTGTGCTGAGTTGTCTGGTTCTAACCCAAGCATGATGATATCAAACACAAAGCACATGGCAAAGGAAAGATGCTCCCATCTCATTCTGAAAACAAGTATTGATAACCAGTTGCCTCCCCTCTCCCCCCAGGATTATTCCTTAACTTAAAAATAATGTTTAAAAAAGTTGTTACATATTTGCTATAACTTATCTCTGTGAACCAACATTTAGAAATAAGCTGGGTAAACATTACATAAGAAAAAAAAACCTTTGTCAGTAGAAAAAGACAGAAAACTAGTAGAAATTTGGCACAGTTTACACATGTTAAGTGGTTATATAATATACAAATACTACAACATGGCACTTTACACCTTGAAAAAGACCAGATGTTTACTTGTAGAACTGGGCGTTGGAAGGGCTACAGCTTTTGAGTTATTGTGAAGTGATGGACAGAAGATTATTGGGAATCGAGTTTAAAGTCCTAACTCTAGCTGTGGATGGGACTGACTCACAGCACACAGGATGAACTGAGGCCTCTGGGAGAGGTTTGAGGTGTGTGCCTATGTTCCTTTTGTCTATTCATACACAGCTTAGTTCCATTGGGCAGAGTTATCTGCTTTCACCTCATGTTTCTTGCAGACTAAACAAATGTAAAATTCATGTCATGCTCAAATTATTCCCTAATATATCAATGGAGTTGAACAAAATGCACATTTTTTAAATACAAGGTAGAGCAGAAGTCACTGTACCTACTACCCACATAAGACTACACACTTTCTATGTGGTCAGAGCATGAACTGTTTATAGTTCTAAAATAAACATCTTAATAACGTGTCTTTCATATTTCCTAGGAAGTTTGTAAGTTAACGTATAGGGAATATTTCTTTTATATTTTTCATGCATTTTTTGAAGTTATATAAACAAAAGAGTCTAAACCAGCTGCATGAATTTTTATTTCCATTCAACATATGGAAAAATGAAACACTGCTTACTATAGATTGTTATAGGCTGGATAACATTGGAATACTAGAGGCCCAGTGCACAAAATTCATGTACCGGGGTAGGGGGGGTCTCTTAGCCCAGCCTGTACCCTCTCCCTATCCGGAACTCCTCAGGTAGGCTCCCTAGGCCTGGCTGGTGATCAGTACCTATCGGGGCTTTCCTTCCCCTGGCTGCCAGCAGCTGGCCCTGCCTCCGCCGCTGCCACTGCTTCCCATTTGTGCAGTGCTGCCCTCCCTCCCCCACCACCGGTCCCAATCCCTTGGCTGGCCTGGGCCTCACTCTGTGGGGCAATCGATTGCGGGCCAAATGGGCAGGGCTCTGTGCTGGCCCCCCACACCTGCCACAGCGTCGCTGGCTGGTGGCCTGGGCCTCACTCTGTGGGGCAATCGATTGCGGGCCAAATGGGCAGGGCTCTGTGATCTATTGCCACGCAGAGGGTGGCCTGGGCCTCCCTCTTTGGGGCGATTGCAGAGCCCCTGCCTCCTGATCAACTGCCCCACCGGCCGGTGGCCTGGGCCTCCTACTTTGGGTAGATTGATCGAGGAGCCACCCCATCAGTCGCCCCACAGAGGGGTGGCTTGGGCCTCCCTCTGCGGGACAATTGTGGGGTGATGGTGGGGCCCCTCAACCAATCGCATCACACCCACGTTGGCTGGCCTAGTACCAAATCATGTCATAGCATGGTCGTCTGGAAGGTTGTCTGGACGGTAATTTTGCTGTTCGGTTGATTTGCATATTATGCTTTTATTATTATAGATATTGCCCTTAAAAAAAAGAACACCTAAGCCCAGCCAGTGTGGCTCACTGGTTGAGCATCCATTTATGAACCAGGAGAAGGTCACGGTTCAATTCCTGGTCAGGGCACATGCCTGCATTGTGGCCTCAGTCCCCAGTGTGGGACATGCAGGAGGCAGCCAGTCAATAATTCTCTCATCATTGATGTTTCTCTCTCTCTCTTCCTTTCCCTTCCTCTCTGAAATCAATAAAAATATATTTTTAAAAAACCCTAAGAAAATGTCTTAAACATTTTTTTTAATGCTTTTTGGGCCTCAGTTCATAGTTTATTCAAATCTGGCATCTGTATAGACCTCAATCTACAAATTAGTTAGATAAATGAAAAACCTCTAGTATAATAATTTCTATGCAATTATATACAATTTAGTTCTGGTATTATCATAAGTGATTTTAAACCTAAAATATTTAACAATCACATCTAATTGTCTGTTTCATCATACCAATCTTGTCTCTGCTTGTTAGATTTTTTTTGCCAGGAAATATCTTATTGACAACCAGGGCAGGGACACAGTCATAAGAGAGGGAAGTACACAGGACTGCAAACTAAAACCCCATAGCCAGCAGGGGCCATTTGGGACAGGAACACTGCATCCTGGGGTCCTCACAGTCTCCTACCCGTAGACACACAAGACTGGGCATCCAGGAGAGGGGGCAGTGACTCTGGTGTCCCAGAGAGTGACAGGATATATGATGCCTCATCACGAGAGACAGGGTAAGGAGGTAAAATGGAGAGAGGGTCCATCACTGCCTAAAGCCACCTCCTCCTCTTAGAGCCAACACCAGGTGGAGGACTGAACCACCTAGGATTTTATAATCAGCTGCTGTCTTCTCATCATTCATCTGTTTACCAGTGTAGATGAGCTGCTGCTGCTGCTGTGTGTGTGTGGGCGGGGCGGGGTGTGGAGGGTTCCCTCTTTCTCTTTCACACATTCCTTGATTCATTCCACCTTATCTGTGGGTTCAATGTCAATCTCAACCTCCTTTCTGGTGAGCGTCTTCACTTTAATTAGCATCTTCTTCCAATATTGGGTCTGCACACAGATAAATTGCTGCTTCTACTGCTGTGGTGGCTGCTGCCGCTCCCCAGCACTCTGTCGGGGGGAGTCACTCCAGATCAGCGATGGCGAACCTATGACACGCGTGTCAGAGGTGACACGCGAACTCATTTTTTTGGTTGATTTTTCTTTGTTAAATGGCATTTAAATATATAAAATAAATATCAAAAATATAAGTCTTTGTTTTACTATGGTTGCAAATATCAAAAAATTTCTATATGTGACACGGCACCAGAGTTAAGTTAGGGTTTTTCAAAATGCTGACACGCTGAGCTCAAAACGTTCGCCATCACTGCTCTAGATTGTTCTTATCACTTATGACTTGGCAATAAGACAATCTATTTATAAAGTTAATATTTTTCAGGCAGGTAGTTTCCAAAGTAATTCTTTTTTCTGGTTCAGTCATCTGAACCGACTTGGTTAGGATCAAGTCTAATAATATAGTTTAAGTGTCATCAATTTCATAGCCACAGTTAAGCTATAGCAGGCATTTTACAAATGCTCTCAGCTACGAGTACTTTTCACCAAGATAAGAAAGTGTGTTAATGCATATCTGCTCTTACCATCTCATCTCAACTGCTTTCCCACAAAGAGGGAAAAATACCCTCAGTCCACTCTCGCCTTTAAGGAAAGCATCCAAATGCTTCTTTAATAGCCTGGGGAGAAAAACAAAGTTTTAAAAATTAGCCAATGCAGAGGAAAGGACTACAACTGTATGACGCTAAGTACTTTTCATGTATTACCTCACTATTCCCAAATTTACAAAGTAGATAACATTAATTATTATAATCTCCAGTTGACATAAAAAGAAATAGGAAGGCGAAGTAGCTTGCTCAGTAACATATGAGTGGTTAATCTGACTTAAATATGGGGCTATCTTGATTAGTAATCTATAATAATAAAAGTGTAATATGCTAACTAGACCGGAGGTCCTTCTGGGCGACTTTCCAGACAAAGCTGGGGCTGTGAGGGAAGCCCAGGTCCCGGGTGCCAGAGAGAAGCTGGTGCCAGCAGCAGGTGGAAAGCAGGCCTACTCTTGCACGAATTTTATGCATCGGGCCTCTAGTTAAAAATAAAATACAAATTTCTTTGGTTGATGTTTTGAAATTTCTTTATTACTCTCTCAAAGGTATCTGTGTATGTGTTTACATGTGTGTGTGAGATGTGGGGGAGCCTCTGGGTACACTGAGCTTTTCAAGCTCTAAATGTGTGCTCAGGTCTCAGAAGGAGCTCTGAAGAGTTATAGTTATTCTTGTAGTTAATTCCTCTGTAGAGATGTGGCTCTTCTAAGGCCATCCACATGACAGAGATAACCCATACAATGATTCTGGGATGATGCCCCAACTACCCTCCGTGTGCAAATGCAATCCTATATAATAAAAGGGTAATATGCAAATTGATCCTAACAGCAGAACGACTGGGAATGACTGGTCACTATGACACACACTGACCACCAGGGGGCAGACACTCAATGCAGGAGCTGCCCCTGGTGGTCAGTGCACTC